TGTAGTACCTAGAGCTTCCTTATGTGCAATGAGAGAGCCTACACTAATACATGTTATCAAATGTTGAAATCAGTAACTTTTATCTATCATGTTTTCCAGTATTCTATTATTTTTATTTTATTTTATTTTATTTTTTTGAGATTGAGTCTCATTCTGTCGCCTAGGCTGGAGTGCAGCAGAGTGATCTCAGCTCACTGCAACCTCCGCCTCCTGGGTTCCAGTGATTCTCTTGCCTCAGCCTCCTGAGTAGCTAGGATTACAAGCGTGCGCCACCATGCCCAACCAATTTTTGTATTTTTAGTAGAGACAAGAGTTTCACCAAGTTGTCCATGCTAGTCTTGAACTCCTAACTTCAGGTGATCCACCCGCCTCGGCCTCCCAAGGTGCTGGGATTATGGCATGAACCACTGTGCCTGCCCAACTATTTTGAAATATACATTAATAACTATAGTCACCAGGCAGTACAATAGATCCCCCAAAATCGTTCTTCATGTCTAAGTGAAATTTTGTACCCTTTGAATCAGCATCTCTCCTTTCCAGGTCCCCGGCCTCCTTCCCCAGCCTCTGGTAACTACTGCTCTACCCTCTACTTCTATCAGTGCAACTTCTTTAGATTCCACGTATAAGTGAGATCATGCCATATTTGTCTTTCTGTGCCTGACTTATTTCAATTAGCATATTCTTCTTTAGATTTATGCATGTTGTTGCAAATAACAAGATTTCCTGTTGAAATCATAAACTTTTAAAGAGGCGAGATAAATGACTTAAATGTCTTTAAATAAGTTTTAGATTTTGACATAGTCAATAATCTGTGTAATCATTTATTTGACTTTTTAAACTGTAAAGAGTTTATTTTGTCTTCAGTTTCTAAGATGACTCAGGAACCAGGGAAGTTAAATCTTTATTTACAGCCTTTCCTCCTCCTTAGCGTCAAGGCCAGATTGAAGTTTTGTTCCACTGCAGGGACAGCTTACAGCTCCAGCAAGCAAGACTGCCTGTTAGTAAACAGGCGAGAGTGAGTCCATTCTCTTTCAGAGGTTCAGTGTTTATACTTCAGCAGACTTGGGGGGAAAAAGCCTGCCTGTTAATAAGCCAGCCTGACATGACTAATGGCAGTTCTGGCCCTGACCTACCAGGACAGTAGGGGCTCACAGAGTCTAACCCGTCTCGCTCTTGGCTCTCAGCTTGGCAAATCTGAAAAGTATTTTCGACTGACAGCCCCAGGGATTTCTGTATAAAAATGCTGAAAAACCTAAAGTACAGTGGTAAGTTTATAAAAATCACAAAGGCCCAGTCCTTCCTAAGACAGGTCAGGGAAATGCATTTGTATAACCTCACAAAGGCATCTTGATCAGAGATTTCTATTTGATTTAATCTACATCCGTAGCAATTCTATAATTGAATAAGAACGCATTTATTATGAAAGTCACAAGTGTGTTTCTGACTGTGACCCAGGCGGCCCTGGCTATGTTTTTCCTTTTGCTTCTTTTTCAAGTGCAGTGACTAAAGATTTTGGCCAAACTTCCTTCCTAGAGGGAGATTTTAATGGGTTGCTCACCTGTTGTGATGGGGAAAGAAGCAACAGATGCCTGATGAGCAGGTCGTTTGTGTGTTGACGGTGGTGTGGGTGTCCTGGCAATAGCTCCGGTGGGTGGATTTCTTTGTGGGGAGATGGAGTAAGCTGAATGGAAGGGCTGCCCTGGGCCATAGGAGCTGGAGAGGGCGTCCTAAGGGGTGGGAACAGCCTGTCCCACAGCAAAGAGGCAAAGAGAGCCTGTGGATTCCGGGTTCTGCTGGTCATTTTTTGCAAGGAATGCTGACAGGCAAGGAGATGGCATAGACCTGGGAAGGCAGAGTGGTCTCAGGGGCAGCAGCACCTGGAGGAGGGCCATGCTTGTATTCCCTCCAGGTAACCTCATCAGGCTACTGACCTTTAAACCATCATACGCTGGCGAATTCCAAAAAGCCCTCTTCAGCTCCCGCCCCTCTCCAACGCTCCGGATTCCTATACTAGCTGTCTGCTGGATGCCTCCAAGAAGAATGCCTGAATGGGGTCTCCGAACTGAATTTTCAGAACAGAAATGTGGACTCTCAGTCTCCAGTCTGCCTCCCTCCTGTCTGTCCTCCCTAGACAGAAATAGAGGAGCCACCCTGATTATCATCTATCCCTCCTCCCCACTTTAAACTTTCTAGCTGGTCCTACTAATCTGACCTCCAAAACAGACTCCAAAGACAGGATTTTTACTTTAGCCCCACCTCTCCCTCCCCTGTCCTCCAGCACAGCCATCACCTCCCTGCTGCTTCCTCCGTCTGCGCCGCCCCAGGAGCAACTAGAGTTATGTGACAAAGCAAATCATGTGTGCCTCTCATTAGATGGAGTGGCTGAAGATCAAAGACTGATTCGAGTAGGTTCAAGAGAAATTAGATATGGATGCATTTTTACTGTAAATGGAGTGGTGAGTCTAGCCCACTCTTCTGGAGGGTTTCACCTTAAGAGACAAATGTGGGTTGAAAGGGTGTGTTTCTTTAAGGTGAGACGGTAAGGCGCCTTTGCCTGTTAACAGGGGTGATCCAGCAGAAAGAAAGCACATTGTGATGCAGGAGAGAGACCCAGGGTGGCTGGGCTGTTCTCTCCCTGGTGTCCTTAGCAGATGGGATGCAGTCATCGTGGCTGGAGCACATGCAGCTTGTCTTGTTGCAGGAGGAAGGCAGAGCTGGCAGCTCCTCTCTGGGAGCAGTAGAAAGCAAGGTCATCCACTGAGAATGAGGTGGGAATTGTTCTCTAGGGACGTGGAAGTGGCTACGGGCCTGGGGACACTTACCCTCTTTCTGCACATACCACCAAGCCTTGGACCAGCTCTTTCCTCCACCTGGAATGCACTTTGCCAGGACTTTCACAGGGCTGGTAACTGTGACATTCAGATCTTAGCTTAAATGTCACCTCCTCAGGGAGGCTTTCCTTAACCTCTGAATTGGAAACAGCCACCCAGTTAATCACTTTCACATCACCCTATTCGACCTCCCTGAATAGCATTCATTACTGTGAGATATTTAGCTGGTTAATAGTTTACTTGTTTACGTATTTATTGCTATATCACTTCCTATAGATGGTAGGACACACTGGGCCCTGTATGGATAGAAAAATCTTATTGATTGAGCGTGAGATGTTCCTCTTGCTTCAGAAAAAAATATACAAATATGTCATGATGAAATACAGTGGAGTCAAGTTGAAGTGGCCCAGGATTAAATCTCTGTGTGTGTGTGTGTAGGTGGCTGGAGGGCTGGCTGGGTGCATCCTGTAGCTTTGGCTCATCAATAGTCAACTCAAGTCACTCACCATGTGTACTCTCCTGGGCACACGAAAGGCCTGAGTCCTGAAGGCCACTTTACGCTTAACTAAAACCTGGCACTGGCCCTCCAGTCCCTGCCTTCCTTCCGTGAACTTGGTCATAGTAAGAGGTCAGACACCATCAGTGAGTATTAAGTAAATATCAGAACTAAATATATCAAAAAAGAACCATCAAAAATGGGAACATGGAGAGGCCAGACTAGGCCTACTCTTTAAGTCTTAAATAGATGCCTGAACTGGGCTTAACAATTCTTCTTAGCTTTGTGAGATTAAAGATATGAAGTCTGTCGGCCTAGGGAAAAATGCACACACTAAGTTTCATGCATCTCAAACAGACTCCTTTTGCCTTAATGTGATGGCTTTATTTATGATTTCTTTTTTTCTTTTCTTTTCTTTTTTTTTTTTGAGACGAAGTCTCGCCAGGCAGGAGTGCAGTGGCGCAATCTTGGCTCACTGCAACCTCCGCCTCCCAGGTTCAAGCGATTTTCTCCTGTCTCAGCCTCCTGAGTAGCTAGGACTACAGGCGTGTGCCACCACGTTCAGCTAATTTTTTGTATTTTTAGTAGAGACGAGGTTTCACCCCGTTGGCCAGTATGGTCTTGATCTCTTGACCTCGTGATCCAGCTGTCTCAGCCTCTCAAAGTGCTGGGATTACAGGCGTGAGCCACCGCACCCAGCCCCTTATGATTTCTTGAAAAAAAAAAAAAGTCGTAACCCTTCTAGGGAAATATTCTAATTAGCCAAAAAATTTTTCCCATTTATTCTTTTTTTTTTTTTTTTTTTTTTTTTTTGTATTTTTAGTAGAGACAGGGTTTCACCGTGTTAGCCAGGATGGTCTCAATCACCTGGCCTCGTGATCCACCTGCCTCGGCCTCCCAAAGTGCTGAGATTACAGGCATAAGCCACCATGCCCAGCCCCCCATTTATTCTTTAAACGCAAAACGAACAAGCAAAAATGCCTTAGCATACCCAGTTTAAAATAATACATGAAAATATGCTTATGTTCTGGTACATGTGTTAACTCCCTAAATCTCTGCTTAAAGCACTAAGGTGCTGAGCTGCCCAGGCTTGAACCAGCATATCATTCTCTAAAACGATAAGATAGGAAGCAGCTCTATATGTAGCCAAGAAGCCCAGGACCACTCATTCTTCCACGGTCAGGAAATGTGGAAATAGCGAACAAAGATAAACTTAGAAAAAAACAGAATTTCCTAAACACTGATTGGGCTCACGCTTTCAGTCAAAGCCATGGATAGTTTTATCAAACTTCCTATCACCTTGTTGGCCAACTCTGTAAATTTGAAGACCCAAACCCAGATTGATCTAAACCAAACTTGTTAATAGAGGTTTCAGACAGTTTCTTCTTTGCCTATAAAAAAAATAAGCACAAATAGGGAACGTGACATGTTATTAGGGACCCTATAATTGTGATGTTTCCTGTTTATGTTTACTTCTTCAAGAAAGATCAAAGTTACTTGGGCTTATACAGGGATTATCAGAGACCTGAGGGGAATGAACTGGTTGTCTTCCTTTTTTTCCTGATCTGTGAAATTCACCACATTGATTGACCCATGAATTAGAAGCTCTGTAATCTGCTGTCTGGATAGGCAGGCTCCTGGACTTGAGTGTTTCCTGTTTGTCCTTTGTTTAGGCTGGAGGAGAAAAAATTGATTCAGAAGAGGCACTGATCTATGAAGAGGATTTAGACGGAGGAGATGGTGTTGAAGGCGAGTTGGAAGAAAGCACGAGGTTAAAAATGTTCCGCAGGCTTGCCTGTGTGGCCTCTAAGCTCAAAGAGTTCATTGGCAACATGATCACCACTGCTGGGAAAGTGGTTGTTACCATCTTACTGGGCTCCTCGGGTGAGTGTCTCTCACACTGGCGGCACGTGGTAAAAGGCACAAGCAGTGCTTTGGTGATTGAGAGAAATGGTTGAAGAAGAAATGAAGGAAACGATCTGTTCCACCACACGAAAATAATAACTGTAGCTCTTGTAAAACTGGCCACATGTGCAAACCACACAAAATAATTTTTCCTGGTTAGTTCTAGTTTTGATGTTTTTAGATGGTTTCCGTTAACCTCTGCAAAATAATCTTTTTCTATATATGCTAAGTGACTGCATTTTCTAGGTTTAGATTAGAATAACAACAATCCTCTTCCTTAGAGCTTTGGAATGGTGACCTGCTGCTATTAACAATGTGCGTGTTCCCATCACAAGCCATATTGTAGGTTCTGGAGGTCTGTCTGCTTACATGAGTCCATAGTCACCTTAATATAACTCTCCAGGATAGACTATTTTTCTTCCTAAGTTAGATTGTAATCTTCCAGCACAGACGCTCACTTCCTTTAAACTTTGGCGTTGGACCACTTATTCCATAATAATGTTATCTTGATCTTTTCCCTCCTTCCATTCCACTGCTTACCACTGCTCCGGAGCTACGGAAGGCATATTAGAGTAGACTCAAGCAAACTGCAAAGCTGCAGCAGCTTCGCTGTTTTTTAATAGGGGGAAAAATGGGGGAAAAGACAGTAGAATTTCTCAAGAAATAAACCACAACATTTTAATGAGGAGTCATTTCAAAATGCCCAATAAAATAGTCTCCTTTTGCCTTAAGGTGCTGGCTTTATTTATGATTTCTTAAAAACCCTTTTAAAGGAGTTATTGGCCAGGAGCAGTGGCTCATGCCTGTAATCCCAGCCCTTTAGAAGGCCAAGGAGGGAGGATTACTTGAACCCAGGAGTTCAAGACCAACCTGGGCAATATGGCAAAACCCCATCTCTACAAAACATAAAATAAAATAAGCAGGGCACAGTGAGAGTTTAATTGGCCAGGACGTACTAGGTAACTAAAAAAAAAAAGTAGTAAATTATTATAAAGAAAATGGTTTCAGGAGAGGTTGGAACAGACATACAGGTACATGAATTCTTGAAACTTTGGGAGAAGTAGAAAGATGGAAACAGGCAAGTAAATATGCAAATGCTACTGGTATGAAAAGTAGACATTTACTTAGTTCAAATGCCACAGGTGGAATTTTTTAAATCATCTGGTATATCTTTGTATTTATAGTTATCCTTTCATATATGACTTTTTCACAATAAATATAGCCTTAATTTTTATTATATAAATCAAATATGATTTTTAAAACTTACTATTTTAAAATACCTAAAAACACTTGAAGGAAATTCACATAATTTCAAATAGTTACATTCACTGAATGATAAATGAATTTCCAGTTCTACCTGACTTTGTGATTACGTTTCTTTTCCTTAGGTATGATGTTGCCGTCTTTGACATCATCTGTGTATTTTTTTGTATTTTTGGGTCTGTGCACCTGGTGGTCCTGGTGCCGGACGTTCGACCCATTGCTGTTCAGCTGCCTCTGTGTTCTGCTGGCTATTTTCACTGCTGGACATTTGATTGGACTTTATTTATACCAGTTCCAATTCTTTCAAGAAGCAGTTCCACCCAGTGACTACTACGCAAGGTAAGAGAAATCTTTATGGCATTTCAAGGAGAGGTTGTCCCCCCATGCCTTTGGGAACTTGGTTTGGCACTGTTAATTTACAGGGTTATTCTTGATGGCAGGCAATTGCTGTGTTAAGCAGATTCTGTGGGGGTGGGTGAGGCAGTCTAGCACTTTCATTGTATTGGATGACGCAGTCTGGAAGGAGGACAGTGGTCTCCTCAGATGGAGATGCTGCCGGGATGCAGGAGGACAGGGAGCTGTCATGTGCAGGAATGAAACAGACCCAGAGTCTCAGCCAGGGAAGAAGATCAGGAAGAACATTTTACACCGAAGAACAGTAAGGATATGCCACAGCATCCAGCTAGAAAGACGTCTCACGGCCCGATATATGAGAACAAACTGAGCATCAGAAACAATAACTAATTGTAAAAAACTTAAAAATAAAAGCCCCAGCCTGGGCAACATGGTGAAACCCCGTATCTACAGAAAATTAGCTGGGCAAGAGGGCGCACACCTGTGGTCTCAGCTACTCAGGAGGCTGAGGTGGGAGGGTCACCCGAGCCTGGGAGGTCAAGGCTGCAGTGAGCCATGATCACACCACTGCACTCCCGCCTGGGTGAGAGTGAGCCCCTGTCTCCAAATAAATAAATAAGAAAATACATAAGTCTCCGGTATGAGAGAGAAAGGGAGAGAGAAACATCAAATACTTTGCTTCAATTGGAGATGAGTATTACACCAAATCCTTACTATGAAAATGAGAATTAAAGGTAAAGAATCCAGCATTTACTCTGACTTTTAATAAGTCATTCTCAGTGAATAAGAGAAAATTCCTCCATGCAGGATGATGTTAGATAATGACAGGCAAAGGATTAACAGAATTAGAGAATTACTGTTCATCAATCCTTAATGATATGTTCTGTTATGTCCACACCTGAAATAATTACTATAAAAGTTGTGGTGGTTGCACAATGACAAAGTAGAACCTTGTTGATGCTTGCTAATTGCAAAGAAAAAATAACATCTTTACAAGGTGTGATCAGTATCTTGAGGAATTGACTGAAATCAGCGTTATCAAAAATGAGATAGCTCAACATTTCACACCTCTCAGTGTGATGCAACAGATGAAATATACAGCATCATATTGTTAAGACTTTTGACCTAACCTCCCATTTACAGAAAGTATAAAGGCTAGGAAACAATTTAAATAGCTCCACAAGAAAACAATCAAAAGAATTCAAAATGTGGATTCTGCAAGGCAAATGAATGGGTCTTAAAAAAAAAAAAAATCAACATGAAAAAGAAGTCTGCATAGGGCAGGGTCGGTGGCTCACGCCTGTAATCCTAGCACTTTGGGAGGCTGAGGCGGGCGGATCACGAGGTGGGGAGATCAAGACCATCCTGGCTAACACGGTGAAACCCCATCTCTACTAAAAATACAAAAAATTAGCCGGGCATGGTGGTGGGCGCCTGTAGTCCCAGCTATTTGGGAGGCTGAGACAGGAGAATGGCGTGAACCCGGGAGGCGGAGCTTGCAGTGAGCCAAGCTCACCCCACTGCACTCCAGCCTGAGCTACAGAGCGACACTCCCTCTCAAAAACAAACAAACAAAAAAAAGTCTGCATAGAGAGTGGAGGCAGCAACTGTCTAGAGGAGAACAGTAGATACTTAAAAGTGTGTGAAGCACAGCTGTAGATCAGATCCTGGTGCAACAACAAATTCTTAAAACGTATTTTGGGGGGTTCAATCAGAGAAATTTCAGTGTTCACTGGGTATTAATTGATACCATAGGATTATTGCTGATTTATTAGGTGTATGATGGTTTTGTGGATAGACAGAAAAATGCTGTTATTTTGGGAGATACATGGTGAGTTATTTAGAGATGTGCCATGATGTTTGCAACTTAAAAATGGTTTAACAACAAACATAATAGATTGATAGATACATGCATACATGGATATATACATAGGAATAGTTAACAGAGGGAAGACAAAATTATTTAAACTAGATGATCAGTATAGGGTTATCCATTGTCCTATTTGAACTTTTCTTTGTGTAAGGAAAGGTTCATAATTGACAGTTCCAGAAAAAAGGGAACAGAAATAGTGATGTTAGCAGTGAAACATATCTGAGTCTCGCAGCACCAAAGTATGTTGCTGGCCTGGCAGCGAATTCCCATGGATCTGCTGCAGTTTCAATTTTTGCTTTCTTAGAAAAATGAATTCTACTGAGGTGCATAAGGCAGGAGAGACTGAGGCAAGTTTTGGAGCAGGAATGGGTGAAAATGTATTTAAAAGCTTTAGAGCAGGAATGAAAGGAAGTGAAGTCCACTTAGAAGCGGGCTAAGCAGGCGACTTGAAAAATCGAGTGCACAGTTTGACCTTTGACTGGGGTTTTATACATTGGCATGTTCCAGGGTCTTTGGTCCCTTTTCCCTTGATTCTTCGCTGGGGGTGGGCTGTCTGCATGCACCGTGGCCTGCCAGCCCTTGGGGGGCGCTGCACGTGCAGTCTGTTTGCTGGAGTTGTGCGCATGCTCACTTGAAGCGCTCTTCCCTCCCGTCAAATGCTCCTACAAGGTCGCGTGCCAGTTAAACGCTGCCATTTTACCTCTTACTGCGCATACTCGAGTCCACTCACTCAACTCCCAAAGTCTTATCGGGAAGCTGCTGATCACCAGTTTTGTTTTGTTTTTTCTGTATCTTGGGAGACTGCCTTTCCCGGGCCCCCAGCTGCAACCAATTATTATTTTAGAGACACAGTGTAACAACCTCCTGACCATCGCCTTATGGTCCCCTGACGTTCCCGGTTGGTGGGTGGGGGTGCCCTCTCCTGCCCCACTCATGCCTGACCACTTACCTACTGTAACAGTAGAAGAGGGTGTGAGCGTTAGGTGAAGACGGTGCCAGAATTCTCTCTGCTGTGCCTCTGGGTGGTAATGTAGTGCTTTTTTTCTTGTTGAAAAATGAGGAACCTGCAGTTTAAAAGAACATGAATAATATTACCATACCAGCAATACAGGTTTGCATCCTTCTTTCAAAAGATCATAATGTGGTTTTAACGTGACAGTAAATTATAAAGACAAAATGGGTGAGAGGCCCAGTGGCCTTGCTTTGATTGATTTATGTGTAAAATTTGGCCATGGTAAAACTAGTCGTGGCTGACTGTGTCTATACAGTGCTAACACAGAGAAAGAGAGAGAGAGAGAGAGCACTTGAGAGAGCTGTTCAGTCAAATCCTTTAAGACCACTTAAATTCAGTTAAAATAAGTAAAAGTTGGTGCTGGACATACGCATCCACACCCACACACACACACCCACCTCATTCTAAATCCAGTTGGCTCAGCTGATTGTATTAGCCTGGCAACTGGAGAAGTGCAATTCAGTCTAATAAGAGAAGAATTTTGTATAGACACAGTAAAACTGAGGAACCTCTTTAATAGTGCATATTCACATAATATTTACTTTAGACAGAAGTGAATAAATGCTAAATTTCAGTGCAGACATTATTTCTAGACTAAATTAATGCTTTCTTAGTTTCCTTTAAACATTTAATTTTTGGTTTGTTGAACACATACAGCAAAAAGTTTTGTACTGCTGAAAGAACTCCCTTTTAGAGGATGACTTAATTGAAAATGTAAATATCCTCTGTAGGACAGAAGTTTTTTGGTTTTGGGGTTATTCTTTCTACTGGCTTAAGGATCTTTTATGCCATCTAGCGTCTGAGGGTAGAAAATACAAATAATATTCAGAACTACCTCGAAAATGCTAGATCAGGCAAACTTTCTCTGTAAAGCTTAGGAAATATTTAAGGCTTTGAGAACCATATGCTGTTTGTCACAATTCTTTCAATAAATCATTATAATGTGAAATCAGCTGGGCATGATATAAAAAAATGACCATGGATGTGTTCCAGTAAAACTATGAACACTGAAATTGACATTTCGTATTCCTTTTACATTAATGAAATTTTTTTTTTATTTTTCCCCAACCATTTAAAAATGTGAAAACCATTATTACCTCATAAATGGCACCAAAACAGGCACTGAACCACACTTGGCCCAGGGGCTATAATTTGTCTTCTTATGGTACAGATAATAACAGTTCTAATGGTGTAATAACATCGTATTTGCTCTTCATTTCAATTGTCATAAATGTAAAATTATAATGTATTACTGACATTTCAGTACATCATCCCCTTAACAGTTTAAAAGGTCTGTTACTATAATCTCATAGAGTAAGTCATTGGTCATTGGAACTTAAGTTGCTTATCAGAGAATAGAAAATGTGAGCTAAATAATGCAATATGTAAACTTCCTTGTTGTAGATTTCCTCCCCATTAACTTGGCGATAACAGGACTTTACATTTTATTCCTTTAAAGCATGGAGATTCGCATATTTAAACCATAGCTTTCTCTTAGGGCATAATTTCAGTGTATTGTTATTAACCCCAAACTCTGAGTTGGAAGAAAACAAACTGCAGACTGGCAAAAATAAATAAATAAATAAAGAGAGAGAGAGAAAGAAAGAAACATAGAAACAAAGAAAGAAAATCACCATATGTGGGTGTTTATCACAAATTTCATAACCACAGAGACTCCAGCCCTTCTGTCTCACTTCCTGGATAGATAAAGCTCCCCTTAAAACAGTCCAGGCAATTTTTATCTTCTTGTAAGCTTTCAGTTGTGCTCTCTGGTGAGTATTAACTTTATTTTTAGAAACATTGAATTGATATTTTTGGTCCCACTGTTATACTAAACACATGTTTTTTGGTGATTTGGAAAAATAAAATAATAAGAAAAAACACTTAAAAATGTAATCCTTATTCCCAGAAATAAATACTATTGCTTTTCAGCCAAATGTTTTCAGAATCTTTCTTATGTCTATATATACTTTTTACAAACAAATTTTGAATCATATTGCACATACTATTTTATAATTTGCTGTATTCACGCAAGTTGTGCATTTTCCTATGTTATAAAATGTCCTAAAATGTAATTTTCATAGTGCAAAGTAATTGTGT